AGGCCACATGGGAGAGCCCAATAATATTATTCTGCTAAATAGATATAGTATTAAAGCAACTCCTAATGACTTATTGTTATACATATAGATTAATGCATATCTTAACTCTCACCAGAGAAGCTTCATTATGCAGTAGATGGTGATTAATACAGAAACCCACAACTCCCACCGTTCTGAGAATAAGACTACAGAGTGCTTATCCCTAAATTGGACACCTGTATCAAACTTCTGCCTCCGAAGGCTCAGGGACTATTGTGGAAGAGCTATTGAAAAGATTGTAAGAGCCAGAGGTGGTAGATAACAAGGACAGCTGCACAGTGCTCATATGAACTCACAGCCATGGTGACAGCATGAACAAGTACATGTAAGCTCAAGTCAGTCAAAATGCCAGCGTAGACATGGGGAAGTGGGTAAAAAACCCCAGCCCTGCCTGAGGAACTATTGGAAACCAATGGCTGCTGGGAAGGGAAGACTGCGTCTGTTTTAAGGATGTGAATCTGTCATTACCTTTTAATCCTGGATACTTCTGTGGGAGGGATAAGCATTTGATTAATGGAGGAGGAAATAGGGAAATGCTGGCCAGCCCTACTAGAGAACAACACTGACAGGTTTGTAGAATTAAAACCAGCACTAATCCAGCCCATCCTGATGCAGGCCTGCCTTAGAGATTTTCCCCAGTTTGGTCTTGGGATTCCCTTCTGGCCTCAGAAATAGAAGTATCCCAACCTCATCTGGTTGGGACAATCTGGAAACACATTACACATTGCAGAGGAGGCAGTGACATTTGTGGGGATGGTCTCTGCATGCAGGTGATGAAGAGCAAGTGTTCAAGGGACATGGACCAGCTTGCTTGAAGTCAAGAAGGCAGCATGGGCTTGGGCTTGGAGGAGAATGAGAGGTCCATACTCTTTTTCACTAGAGATTATGGTATGAGCAAAGCATACAGTGGGAAATAAGTCAATTCTCATCTGTGAGCCAACAAATCTCTGGCACCATTGGGACTATGGGGTTCTGAGAAGGAGCTCCAAAGCAGGGAAAGGAAGCTCCCTTCCTCCCCCACAGCTTCTGCCATTTTCTTCTTTTCCCAATGGGAAGAAGGTTGGGACCTTCTAGCTTGCTTGCTCTATGAAGATCTGAGATATTCAGAGTTCTGAAAAATGTCAGATTTTGGCTTTCCTGGTCAAACTCAGGCTGCTAAAGACATTATCCATGGGCCTGCCTGGATTTTGAGAAACGACAGGACCAGTACAGCCTGCCAGTCAGGGGTTAGCCTCACCAAATTGCTGGACACTCTCAGCAGGGCTGCCTCAGCTATCTGCCTAATCCTTCCTGGCATTTCCCAGGCTGAATCAGAGCAACTCGCTTTCCAATATGCTCTAACCAGGGCCTTTACAGGATGCTTTGGGAAAAAAGGTTTCAGTGTAGAGAAGATAAAACGCAGAACTGTTCACTTTTTAAAAAAATTTCTCTTCCAAGAAATACATCTCCATCACCTTTCTTTTAATTAGGATGTGTGGGCAACAGGTACCATCAACTTTTCTCTTTGTAGAAGCTACTTCTGGAAACAGTTTCTGGTATGTAGAATTGCTTTTACTCTTCTCTAAAGGTGAGGACCAAAATCATGGAATGTTCTGATTGTTGACATAAAAATTAGTTCTTGATCCAAAGGAAGTGATTTATTCCCAATTAAACATAAGAGACCATCATCCGAGAACACAGACTCAGGGTGCTTTGAATAACATGTTCCGCCATGAAAATAGTTACATGCCCTTCTATAGTCTCAGAACAAAAGGTACTAGTAAACCACATTTACTGAGTACACTGACGGGGACATCAGGTAGACGGCTTATAGAAAGCAGGAGATCTCTGCTATAGATTTCAGATGTTGCCTGATGACATTCTTAATGTTTGCGTTGGTGAAGGCTAGGCATGTCAAGTCTAGAAATATATCCCAAATTTTATCTAAAACTCAAGAGGATGTTAAGTCAGATACAGAGAAAGGTAGGTGATAAATGGCTGTTAAGAGAACTAAAGATGGTCCAAGATTATTTTGGCTCTCAATCTACAACATTCCAACTCCCCCCACTCATGGAGCTCTAATCAGCCTATCTTCAGAATACCTTCACAGATATGGATTTTTAGGGAACCCCCACTTGAGGCTCCTGCCCCACAATCACCATGTGTGCCTGGGAAGCAGGTAAAGGCCTGATGAACAAGATTTTGTTAAGGGGTGGACTTTTGATTGCTGTTAGAAATTTAGAAGGACAGCCAAGAACCTTCAAGGCGAGTAGTCGCCTGCCTGAGGGGACCAACCAATGGGGGCCTGACGCTTAATACTGATGTGCTACAATGGAAGAGACACCTAACTAGACAGATCATGTTGAGTACATGGAACAGTTTACCTTGGCCTCTGTGGTTTTGTGTGTGTGTGTGTGTGTGTGTGTGTGTGTGTGTGTGTGTTTGTGTGCTTAATCAAGTATATTCCTGTTTGGGAGAAAGTGTCTGGAGACCGTGACTATAATGTAGATCAGGAAAGAATCCAGGGGAAGGCATCAGTTACTCCCACGAAAGCCTAGCTTCTCCCCAGGGCTGAACTGACTGATAGTTTGCCAAATATTCTAGATGTTGCCATGAAGGATGAAGAGAAGGGGGTTGTAGGAGTCAGTAGAAGAGGGATTCTCTTCTCTGGCCTGTCTCCCATATTTACAAGGTCACTGGGTTCCCTCTTTCCAGTGAGGAGACTGCACATGATCACATTAAGCCTCTCCTCTCTCCTAAAATGCTACCTATTCACAGTATAGGGTAGGGAAGACATTAAACTTTTTCTTAAAATAAAGAATGAGGCCAAAGCTGGGAAGACAGCTCAGTCGTAAAGTGCCTGACAGGGATCTGAGTTTAGTTCCCAGGATCCACATAAAATGCTGAGTCTGTACACACTTCAGACAAAGGACTTAGAGAAATCAAGACGAGACTGACCTGGAGGCCTTCTCCTGAGGACTAGCCCTCATAGCATCGGAAGGTGCTATGCAAACTACCAAGGGAAAAAAACAATCAAGAGTACTACCCAGCTGTAAGGCAAGGCCTACAAATCACAGCAGTGATCGGCCCAGTGAAATATACCTAACGGTGCAAAAGTGGCAGTTTTGTCTTGGGGGTAATCAGTTGTGTACTTGGATTTAATAGGAGGGAATTCCCTTTCACTAGGAGGGAATTCATATCTTGTACTGTAAACTAGAAAATACCAATGACTGGAGAGGTCATAGACCCTAGAGGAGAGCATACTACTACCACTTTTCTAAACCGATATAATGTCTAATATTCTAAATACCCTCCTACCCACAGAAAAACGTAGCTTTCACCCCACGTCAAAGAAACTGTTTTTGTTTTGGTTTTGCAACAGGTGGAGACTATCACAGAGATCCACAGAGAATAGATAGGTGTCTGTGGGCTGCTCAGCCCCAATCAATAAAGTTATAATGCAGCCCTTCAGGGAACATTGTGGAAGAGTCAGTAGAAAGATTAAGAGCCAGAGAACCTGCTGCTAGATAGTGTTTTCTAAGCACAGCACTATGGATGCCTAAACAAGACCTACATAATGACACCAGCTGACACGCCAACATAGATTGGGGAAATTTCACGACGTTCCCCCGTCTGGTTGAAGAGCTATAGGCAACCAGTGGCTTCTGAGAGAGGGAGAATCAGTTTTCTCCATAGACAAGTTGCCTAATAGGTTATCCAATCCCAAGTAGTCAGCCCTAAACACATGTACATATGAACACCCCAAATGGATTCAGTAGGTTTTATGTGGGTGCATGTGTGTACACACTTGTGTGTCCGCTTGTGGATGTATGTGTAACAATAATTAAGGAGGTCACAAAATTCAAAAGGAATTGGGGAGCAATGTAGGAAGACCTGGAAGGCAAGGGGGGAGAGGTGGAAATGATATAAATACAATATTCATGTATGAAATTCTCAAATTTTATAACATAAAACTTTTAAATGTGCATACCCCTCCCAAAACGGTGGGTGCGGTAACGTACACTTGTAACCCAGCACTGGGGAGGTAGAGGCAGGTGTGTTCTCAGGGTTCTCTGGTCTACCAGCCTAGTCTAATAGGTGAGTTTCAGGCCAGTGAGACACCCTGTCTCAAACGAAAAAGGTGGAAGGTGCCTGAGGAACAATTCTGGGGGTTGACCCCCAGCTTCACATGCATGTATACACACAGATATGTACAAATGAGATCCAACATAAAATGAAACTAACCTTTTTTTTGGCTCATAAACAAGATACGAAAGGCAATTCTTTTTTTTAAAAAAAAACATTTTATTTTTATTTTATTTGAGTAAGTGCATCATATGCATACAATGCCTGCAGAGGCCAGAAGAGAGCGTCGGATCACCTGGAACTAGAGTTACAGCGGTTGATAGCTGGCACGTGGGTTCTGGGAATCAAACCCGGGTCCTCTGGAAGAACAACAAGTGTTCTTAACTGCTGAGCCATTCCTCCAGCTCCTGAAAGGCAATTCTAAACAAGAAGTCAAAGCATGTCTAAGTAATCTCAGCAGTATCAGTGGGGTGGGGAACCCCAATACTTTTGAAAAAACTAACCTTCAATAAACAGAGATGTCCTTGAATGTTTGGCTAAAAAAATACTACGATGAGTTTTCAGGCTCCTAGAGATGAAGAATATCCACCAGGAACTCCAGCTTCTATAAGTATTGCTGAGTTCAGCTCATTGGAAGGACCTCCTTGTCATAAGGGGTCAGGCACAGCAAGAGACAGTTCCAATTACGGTAGGAAGGGCCTGTAATTAGACCAAAGCAGCCACAGGTCAGAAGGTGAAAGGAGAAGGAAGGAGGTAGGACTGGGCTGGGCTAAACCTTAGATAGATGAATCAAGCCTTCTCGTAGGGTGGGGACATCCTGTCTAAAATGCAAGCTCCATTAAATCTATAAAAGGTTCTCAACCCACTGACTGGTACTCTCCTCACTGCTTAACAGACACTTGTCCCATCCTGCCTGGGCTTTAGGTAAGTCTCCCCCGAAGAAGACCCTCTCATTCTCAGTGTCTTGGCAAACTGAGCTCATAAAACCCGAGCTGTCAGATTGCAGCGCTGGCGGAGGGCAGGAAGAGCCTGCCTTGGACCTCCTGCAAGCCAGGAGCCAAGGCACTTGGGGAAGGAAGTGCCTCTGAAGCAATCCAGCTTTCTCCTTCTCCCTGAGGCTGTCCTGGCAGCAGCTCTTCTCCGGGAGATGGTGTGGGTAGCCGCAACAGAGCCACCCACCACCCACGTGCCTTCCCGGAGCAGCAAAATTCTTGTCTTCCTAAGGTTCTGGAAGGTTCTTTACAGCACTGAGAGTCTATAGGACCCCAATAAGTTTGCTTTTGCGAACCTAGACAAAGAGCTCAGATTGTCTTATGGAGAAAGGGGCTTATATGACCTCTGTTCCTGATTCCAGGGTGATATTTATGAAAGATGATTTTATAAAATGACCCAAGGGTCATTTTATTTTTTTTTCACTATAGGTCAGTGATTAAAGAGTGTCATATGCTTTATTTTAAAAGAGGGAGTATTTTCTATTGATGTTAAGGAAAACATTCTGAGGGAAGAATGCCTGAAGTTGTTGGCTGACTCCCTGAGTTGCTAGGAAGGTCGTCCCTGGACAGGACATCTAGGATCTGGACCTCCTTCATCCTCTGACCACGCTGACTTGCTCCTTCTTGTGTCAAGCCTACCTTCCTTCCCGCACTCCTTCTCTCTCGACCTATGACATCTCTCCACAATTTTCCTTTTTTCATCTCCAAGTTCCCTTCCCTGATTTTCCAGCTGCTGAAAGCTTCCATCTGCCCTTGTCCTTGGGCCATGTCATCTTTGGGATGTCTCCTCTTCTCTAGGCTTTCTGCTTAATCCTTCTGCTAATCTCTGGGCCTGTTGCCCATTCAACCACACCCCGGCTTCCCCTTAGCTTCCCTCCAGACCCCCGGCTGATGGAAATGAAAAATTGCCCCCGCAGCTGGGAACCATTCCTCACAAGTCACCAGCACACTAGTCCTGATGGACTGCATGTCTCCTGTGGAAGCAGGCTTCCCTGACAGGTCCCAGGACTGAGGGCACAGATCCCTGCAGAGCAGCTTAGACTCTCAGTGGAAAGTCCTCTTAGCCTAGGAAGACAGCCTCACGCCCAGCATTCCTGGCTTCTTCCTGGATACCTTCTACACAGGAGGCAAGAAGGCAGGGCTGGACCCCTGCCGTTCCTGTCTGGCTCCCAGTCAAGAGACAGGCTAACCTGTGTACGTACTTAAAACTGCCTTCCAATGTTTCCGGTAGGACACTAACACTTTAGAGACAGGCAAATGAACGTGTCTAAAGATCACATTGCATTTGGTTTAAGACAGGGGAAATTAAAAAAAAAAAAAAAAAAAAACACTCTGTGGTCTTGCACAAATCAAACTCCTCTGAGCCGTTTTTCTCACCTATGAAAACAGTAGTGATGATAAATGGATTATAAAATGTTACACAGGAAAATGCTTTGTGAACACTACAGTGTATTTAGTTGTACACAAATTATATATATGCATTTATATATTTAACAGCTACCATTTAGCATAAACCAGGCATCTGAAAGTGCTTTTTATGAATTATTGCCAGCGTCTTCACAGTAACTTGATAGAGTGAGTGCTACGATCACCTTCATTCACAGTGAATTGACTGTGGCTTGGGGAAGCAAAGCAACCTGGCCGAGCTCACGTGACAGGTGGGGCCTGGCACTGAACTCTGAATCAAGAACTTGCTTCTAGGTTCTTCCAAGTTCTAGGTGCTCCCCTTCCCATGCATAAAATGCATTATGTGGAAAAGATGAAGGAAAGTAGAGAGACCAGAAACAGCTGAAGATACAAGCAAAGGACAGAGATGCACGGTGATCTGAAGGCCGTGGTCAGCTGAGGCTGGCCCTGGCACCCACAAAGGGGCTTCTCATCTTTTCCAGCTTGGCTCCACAGATGCCTCAGTTGCTGCGAAACATTCATGGGCTCATCGAGGCCTTCAGGCGCTATGCTACGTCTGAGGGCGGCTGCACGGCACTCACCCGACGGGAGATGAAGAGGCTCTTGGAGCATGAGCTTGCTGATGTCATAGTGGTAGGATGTGGGGGAGTGATGTGGGAGACTTGGTAAGGACAGCCAAAGCTTGTTTGCCTGCAAGGAGTCTGCCTGCGGAATTGAAGGGGGAAGAGCAAAATCTAGGCCCTCTGGTTCTATTGGCTGTTGTACAGCAAGCAGTAAAAGAAAAGAAGAGCCATCAGGGTAGGGCCTGATTTTTAGAGAAGGGGCAGATCCTTGGTTTTAATTTTAGGGTCAAGACAAGGAAAACAAACTCTGAAGGACAGCTCAAGTAAGAGCAGATTCTTGAAAAAGCATGGAACAGAAAGTAATGGCTGCTTTCTGGTGCTTCTCAAATCAGTAAACATTTCCTGTGTCTATCTGAAATTTGATCACCTATTAGCATTCTTTAAGAGCTTAGCTCTTGCTTGCACAAGGCACTTGCTTAGAAATATTAGCTCACTGGTCATGTAAAACAAGAGATTTTTGAGCCAGGCATGGTGATGCACCCCCTTTAATCCCAGCACTCAGAAGGTGGAGGCAGGTGGATTTTTGTGAGATCGAGGCCAGCCTTGTCTACATAGTGAGTTCCAGACCAGCTTGGGCTACATAGAGACCTTGTCTCAAAGACCCAAAAAAAAAGGGTTTTGAATCACAGGTTATAAACAGCTGTGAGTGTAGGGGACTCTAAGAGGTCTACTCTACCCATTAACCAGAACCAGGTATGGCTACAGGTAGACCCTTGTGTCTGGATGCTGGTGTTTCCTGTCTGTTGGCTCCTGGTCTGTTCTGCCATTTGTCCTGCCTTTGGTTGACATCTAAAGGAACTAGAATAATGAAGACCCTAACTGCAAGGTTTTCACAGTAGAATGCCACCTCTGCATGCCTAGCACAGCACCACAGTCCTGCTGGCCCTCCCCATCATGGAAAAACATTTCTGAATTCCCACCAGGCCAGGTTTCTGCTGTGCTTCTCTTCCTGTGGGCTTGGTGCCAGAGGCAAAATGCCAAGGACAGCCCTAAGAAGCAACCAGGAGCCCAGACAGTTGTATATAATCACATTTATTCCTTCTTCGATATGTCTTTACCAATTGATCATCCTGGCTATAAGCCAGAATTTGGCCAGACATGGAGGATATAGAACAATCTACCCTTGATTAAGAAATGTTACTAAAAAAGACACAATGTATTGTTAATGCTGTGTGCAATGCTGGTAGGGGATGGTGTTTGTGATGCAGCTAGAAGCTAAGTGCAACTGACCTAACCAGATCCTCACAGAGTTATTGACTTGCCTCCATCTCTTCCCCAGAAGCCCCATGATCCAGCTACTGTCGATGAAGTTCTGCGTCTGCTGGATGAAGATAACACAGGGACTGTAGAATTCAAGGAATTCCTGGTCTTAGTGTTTAAAATTGCTCAGGCCTGTTTTAAAACACTGAATGAGAGTCCTAGTGGGCCTTGCAGATCTCAGGAGTCTGAAAGCTGTCATCCCAGATCCTCAACAGAGCTGGAGCAAGGCCGGAGAAGTGGTACTGAAGTAGGAAGGGATGGAAGAGGGCAGCATCATGAAGGGAGTGGCTGTGGACAGTCAGATCAGGCTTCCAGAGGACAGGGCAGGGTGGGGACACATACTCAGGGTCAGGAAAGCTACTCTATACAGGTCAGCAACCGTGGCAGGCAGGCTGAGTCCCAGAGACAGGAGATGGTGAGTCAGTGGACACGAGTGATAAGGCCGGTAGAGCAGACCCCGCGAATTGAAGACAAGAGTCAGACCAGAGAGAGGAGGTCAGAGAGGCAGTCATGGACCAGCCAACAGACTGATGAGACCATGACTGGAACCACAACTCAGACCAAGACAGGTGCCTCCCAGACACAGGGGTCCACCTGCAGCCAGAACAGGGGGACCAAGACCTATGTCCAAGACAGGTGCCAGGCAGGACAAGCTGTGACAGGACAGGCAGAGTCATATACTCAGACACAGACACAGGTGTTGGAACGGGGCAGGAGCCAACACACAGGAAACACCAGCATCCAGACAAGAGGGACTGAGACCCATGGCCAAGTCAGGAGCCAGGCTGGCCAAGCTGTGACAGGGCACTTCCAAACACAAGTAGGGCCACACACTGAAACCCACACCCAGATGCTAGAACAGGACAGAAGCCAGCAGACAGGAAGCAGCAGCATCCAGACACAGGGGTTCATTTATGGCCAGACAAGAAGGTCTGAGACTCATGGCCAAGACAGGAGCCAGGCCAGTCAAGCTACAACAGGACACAACCAGGCACAGGCAGAGTCATATACTCAGACACAGACACAGATGGTGGAACAGAGCAGGAGCCAACAGACAGGAAACACCAGCATCCAGACACAGGAGTCCATCTATGACCAGACAAGAGGGACTGAGCCCCATGGCCAAGACAGGAGCCAGGCTGGCCAGGCAGCAACAGGACACTTCCAGATACAGATGGGACCACATACTCAGACACACACCCAGATAGTGGAACAGAGCTGGAACCAACAGACAGGAAATACCAGCATCCAGACACAGGGGTCCACCTGTGGCCAAAACAGAGGGACTGAAACCCATGGCCAAGACTGGAGCCAGGCAGGCCAGGCAGCAACAGGACACTTCCAAACACAGGCAGGGCCATATAGTCAGACTGTGGAGCAGGACAGGAGCCGGTCTGCAAGTCAGAAAGGGGTTCAAGAGCAGGGACAGACTCAGATGCAGTCAGGCATGGGTCAAAGATGGGCACAAGTGAGCAACTATGAGGTAGGAGAGCCAGTGCTAGGAGGACAAGTCCAGACCAGGACAAGAACTGTGATGGAAAGTCAGGGCAGAAGCAGCACTTGCTCAACGATGACAGGACGGCAGGAAGAGAGAGTGCCTACAGTGGTTAGAGATGAGTGGGTCGATGACCATACGAGGGAGCTAGTGATCCGAAGTCAGGACCCAGGCAGCCTGCACTCTGGCTCTCCTTCAGCCCAGATCCAGGGTACAGCGCAGATGGAAGAGAAGAAGGGAATCGTGGCCACGGGGCTGTATTCTTACTTGAAGAGTGGAAAGCCATAACTTTTCCTGATTCCAATGCTGAGTACCACAAAACATCTGGGAAGAGGTTGGCTTGTCCTCCTCCAGCCCATCCACTGATACATTGTTGGACAGTCAGGATTCTTCTTTGGGTCTTTCTAGGTGACCATTTCTGCAAAGGGCTTTCTGTCCTAAACTTACCTTTCTTATCTGCTGTGCTGTGCAGATGCTCAGAAATGAGATGACGTGTAGAAAGCCTTGTCGTTGTGCTGAATTCTCATCTTTCAGGGCTTTTCAGAGCTGTTTTATATCTGTTATCTGTCTGTTGCCATCCAAAGAATCAATAAAACCTTAAGCAGCTGACTTCTGTGTTCCATTCAATCACTATTGAGGTGATGGGCTAAGGGCTCTAGGGTTATGATGATGAATTGGACATAGTCCCATTGCTCAAAGAGCACCCAGTGAGGAAAAAGTTATGTGAGAATCTGAAAGTTAGGAAAAATCAAAGAGAGATAATATTTTATATCTGGCAGATGGGTCAGGGATATCATCTTCCACAAGATACTTTTTGTGACAACCCTCAAAGGACCCTAGGATGTCCACAGGTAAAATTATTGTCTTTCCCTCCCTTCAATTCTAGGAAGGACAAGACAAGACTGTGTGAGAAAAGGTAGGTGGTGGGGCCTGGCATTGAACTCTGACTCAAGAACTTGCTTCTAGGTTCTTCTAAGTTCTAGATGCTCCCCCATGTTAGGTGCTTAGCACTATGCTAAGACTTTAGTCACCTGTAAGGTCACATAGGACAGTGACTTGAATTTACTAATAAATGGCAGAAAGCCCCCCAAGGCAGAACCAGGAAGGGAAATAGGAATGTATTACCAGGGGCTGAGCCAGAAGTAAGACTGTGAGCCTCTCTCCATCTCCCTCTGTCATGTCAGCACTTAACCCTCAGGATATCCCATTCACTGTAGGGTAGAAATTGTCAACTCTACTATAAGAATCACCAGAGAAGTAAGAGTTTTAAACCTATCCCTAAAAATCCTCAAGATTTGAAGTAAAAATTTAGGGGAAGTATGTTCAGTAGCACCGAAGAACAGATACCCTGAAAAGCCTCTGCAACAAAAATGTGCATAAAGCACACGTTTTTTGTGTGTGTGTCTTTTTGAGACAAGGTCTCTCTGTAGCCCCAGCTGGCCTGGAATGCACTATGTAGACCAGGCTGGCCTTGAACTCACAGAGACCCACCTGCCTCTTCCCAAGTGCTGGGATTAAAGGCATGAGCTACCACACCAAACATAAAGCATATTTTTTCACCACACTGTTGGTTTACAAAAATCTCTAAGAATAAAACAAAGTATGGCAGACTGAGTACTTTCAAAGATGTATCTCTGCTAATCCCAAGAACCTGGGAATATACTACTTTATACCTCAAAAGGGGCTTTGCAGATATGATTAAATTAAGGATACTGACAGGGGACTGATGCTGAACTATCCAGCGAGTTTGGAAAAATGACAAAGGTCCTTATTAAACTGAAACAAAAGGACCAAAGGCATTAAAAGGAGACTTGATGGTAGAACCAACAATTGGAGCCTTAGTCAAGGAGCAAAGGGTGCAGCTGAGAGACCTGAGTGACTCCATCTTGGATAAAACCTCCATAGGACTGACCCAGCCCTGGGCCCTATTCCAAGAAAAACCACGGAACAGATAGAAAACAACTCCCCCGCCAACAGTCAATTAACCAGGGACAGGAAAATATTAAAAGTCCAGATATCTTTTCCAGTTTCCTGAAGCCAGCAGTTCATGGTTTGGCACTGAGATGCAACCAATCAGATGCTTGCCAGGCTGGAGACCCCCTACTCCCCTACTTGCTGAACTTACTGAAATCTATAAAAACCTCTGTCTCCCAAAGCAAGGGGTCTCACATCTGAGATCCGCTGAGTCGGTGACAGAGTGGACCCAAGCTTAAGCTTGTAACAATAAAAGAACCCTTGTGTATTTGCATCGGTCGGCTCCTTGGTGGTCTTTGGGGTCTCACGAACTGGGCACAACATCTTGGGGGCTCGTCTGGGATCCCCAAGGGGACCCCCCCCCCAGGACCCATGAACTGGAGGGTTCTTGGCTGGCCAGTGTCTGTTTGTTTCTAGTTGTGCCTGTCTGTGTCTGTCCTAGCTTTTGTTCTGAGCCTTGAGGCAAACCTGTGAACAGTGTGGTCAGGGGTGGTTGGAGCGGACATGCTAGATGACCATGACCACAGAGGTCTGGAAGAGGGGACGGAGGTCGGCAGAGGGGACGGAGGGCCCCGGACTCTGTTGATTCCTGTGAAAGGACAAGGTGGGTCGCTCCCGTGGCATGGCAGTTAGCCGCTGTCCTACTTGCAGTTTTTCTTCTGCACAAGTGGGGGAATTTGTTACTTGGCCTTCCACGTGTCTTTCTGGCTCTCTGTCTTGTCTTTGGTTGTCTATTTCTCTGTGACTGAGATGGACGCAATGGGACAGACTCCCTCTACACCCCTGGACCTGGTTCTTACACATTTTGAAGAGGTTAAGACTCAAGCCCATAACCTCTCTGTTGTTGTCAGGAAGAATAAACTAATTACTTTCTGCAGGTCTGAATGGCTCACTTTCGATGTGGGATGGCCCTCGGAGGGGACCTTTGATCCTGCTGTCATTAATATGGTTGAGAAAATTATTCTTCAACCACGTATGGGACACTTGGGTCAAATATCATACATAATGGTCTGGGGAGATTTAGTTAATAACCTCCCTCCTTGGGTCAAGTCTTTTCTTCCTTTACAGAAAACTGAGGTGCTAACGGCTGCAGAACAGAAAACGACAACCCAGAAAGCACCTAAACCTGAAACCAAACCATCAGCACCATCACTGTTCCCAGGGCAGCACAGAAGATCTAATTTTTCCTCCCCCTCCTTATCCACCTCCTCCACAGGAGGTACCCCCTCCAGTTCCAGCACCCCTGGTACCAGATTCTTCACAGGCATGGGGGAACCAACTCAGGGGACTAGGAGTAGAAGGGCAGCAACACCGGAGGGTCCAGATTCTACTGTTCTACCCCTCAGAGTCACCAGCCCCATCACTATTGGCCATTCACCACAAGTGACCTTCACAACTGGAGAACCCAGAATGCTCCCTTTTCTGAAAATCCTAAGGAGCTTATTAATTTATTAGAAACTGTGAATACACACACCAACCCACTTGGGATGACTGTCATCAATTATACAGGTCCTGTTTACCACAGAGGAAAGGGAATGTATCCAAACAGAAGCCAGGAAGTTAATTCCTGGCAATACTAGTGTCCCTATCCACTGACCCAGGACTGATTGGGATTATAATACTGCAGAAGGTAAGGGGAGGCTTCTGGTCTACCACCAGGCTCTGTTGGCAGGTCTCAAAGTGGCTGCTCATATGCTAATTTGGCACAGGTATACGATATTAGGAACTAAATGAAAGCCCAGCTGTGTTCTTGGAGAAAATAACAGATGCCTTCTGCAGGTACACTCCATTAGACCCAGAGGCCAAAAGTAATATAGCAGCAGGGGCCATGGCTTTTGTTAACCAGTTGGCTCCAGATATAAAGAAAAAGCTCCAAAGAGTAGAGAGACTGGGTAAAAAGAGCTTAAGGAATTTAATAACTAATAACTGTGGCCAAGAAAGTGTACAATAATAGGGATAGTGCAGAGAGAAAAAAAAAACAGATAAATGCAGAAAAAAGGCAAAACAAGGACCTGGTAAGGATCCTGGTGGCTGCCACTGCAGATCCAGAGGACCGGCGGAGGCATCTGAGACACATAGCGTCAGGGAAAGGAGTCTCTTGCAGTATGTGGATGACCTACTTGTGGTGGAAGACAGCCAAGAGGTTTGTATGGATGGCACAGAACACCTGTTGCGGAAGCTGGGAAGCCTGGGCTATCGGGCCTCTGCTAAAAAGGCCCAACTATGCAAACAACAGGTCCAATACTTGGGCTGTATACTCAAAGAAGCACTACTGGTAAAAGATGCTGACAAACTGACTTTGGGCCAC